GATAAAGATATATATGATAACTATATCCAAATCTGAACCGATCTCAAAAAAAATTGGCAAAGATATTTCTGAGCTGTATTTGATATATTTCCCTGAATATCGTTGTTACGGAGTGCATATTACGGCTGTGGGTAACAAATATGACAATTCGGATGAACTGTATATATGGGAGCTATAGCTATATCTGAACCGATCTTCACTAAATTTGACATACCAGCTTCTAGACTCAATTCGGTCGTAAGTGCCAAATTTCATCCATCGGACGAAGTTATTATATGGGAGATATATCCAAATCTGAACCGATCTCGATAAAATTTAGCAAATGTATTTCTGAGCTATATATGCTATATTTCCCCAAATATTGTTGTTACAGAGCGCATATTACGGCTGCGGAGGACAAAAATAACAAATCGAACAATATATATAGGAGCTTTAGCTATATCTGAACCGATTTCGATCAAATTTGGCATACTTATTTTTAAGTCCAATCTGATCGTACGTGCAAAGTTCCATACTATTCGGACTGATATTACACGATTGGTGCACAATAAAAGGGAAAATCGGACGAAGATATATATGGGAGCTATATCTAAATTTTGACCGATTATCTCCAATTTCAATAGGGTTCGTCCTTGGGCCAAACAAATGATTTGTGCAAAATTTCATCTGGATAGGGCAATAAATGCGAACTGTACTTTGTTTACAAAAATACATGATCACATCCGAATGTGATTCTATGCAGATCATCGTTTCCTTTTGCCTGTTACAAACAAATGCACAAAGACATAATCAGGGTATTATACCTCATGGTGTAGGGTATAAAAAAAAATTGTATTTAGACGAACCGATAAGTATGGATAAGTGTGGGATTGGTATATAATAAGCTTTGGAAATTCGTACTTATTTGGGGGGCCGATAGGGCTAGAATATAGCAATTGGGTAATAGATTTTTATATGATTGAGGTACGAAAGTAGATTTTCTGGGAATTTGTACTAAATTTAGTACAATTTAGATTTATGTAAACTGATAGAACTATAATACAGAAATTTTATCTTAAGGTCACTGTTGGTGTCTGTTGTTAAGATATGGAGGTGGTTTTGGAAATGTTTACTATAATTGTTCGAAAAGTACTAAGTCGTTCTGTATTGAGTATTTGGTGGAGGGATAGACCTTCTAGCCATGAAGGTCCACATTTTCGTATATCATTTTTAAACACAGTTTTTCAACGGTGGAGGGTATTAGAAATCCGTCACGACAGAACTTACCTGCTTTTTATACCCTCCACCTTCTAAAGGAGGGTATATTAAATTTGTCATTCCGTTTTGTAACACCTCTAAATATTCGTCAAATTTCACATAAAGTATATATATTGATGATCAGCATAAAGTTCTAAGTCGATTTTACTATGTCCCTGATGATGATCATTTTAGCCACATATTTCCACCAATTTGTCCAAAAATTAGTATTTGTAGTTCGTTATAGGTTCTAGCTCCACTGGCGGAACGTTGTATATATAGGCCCACGTTTTCGTATAGAATCCATATAAGGGTACCTCCCAATATTCGGTATTTTGATGGTTTAAGCCAATTTTTTCCACAGATTTGTCTAAAAGTTGGTATTTGTAATACATTATGGGTTCTAGCACCGCTGGCGGAACGTTGTATATCGTTGTATATATAGGTCAACGTTTTCGTGTAGCCCTTCCGAACGAATTGAAATGAAATGTTACTCAAATGTGTGTTTGGTCTGCAGGACTTTCTGTATTGAGCTATATACGTACACGTTAGGGTATAACCCCATTATATAGTTGTACCTCCCTATATTCGGTATTTTCATAATTTTAACGGCAATATTCACTTGTTTCCTTGACAAGAGTGGAATTTATTCGAGAAAATTGCACTCCCATTCAAAAAAGGGGAAATCCTACTTGCTTTTATCAAGTGGCATAGAGAAATAGAGCATACTCGATTTCATTTTTGAAACTTAGTATTTGAACGTCTTAGTATAGGTATAAAATTGTTTACATAAATCCATAGAGAGATACTCCCAGATCTTAAATATTTTGATGATTACAGTCAAACGAAGTTGTTTAAATCAAAGTACAGATTTGCTATTTTTTAATCGGGAGTGAAACTTGATAGCAAAGAGAGAGAGAGAGGGTTTTATACGGATTTTACTCTTTACCTTTTTTTGAGAGCTCCCGAATCACTCTTGTTTCAAAAATGTTAGTGTGAAGCGAATTACTCGAAATAGAGTGAGAGTTTGCTCTAAGAGTGAAAGAGTGAAAGGGAACGAAGAATTTTTCCCTAATCAACAACTCTACCCTCTATGCAGGGCCTATTAAGTTTGTCATTCCGTTTGCAACACCTCGAAACGTATATTTAGACCCTATAAAGTATATATATATATATATTCCTGATCAACATAAAATTCTCTTTCGATTTTGGCGATGTCATTTCGTCTTTGGGAATCACTCTAGCTTCCGAACGAAATGAAGTAGGTTGATAAAATTTTACTCAGATGTGTTTTAGGACTGCAGGACTTCTGGTATTGAAAATTGTCCATATATAGGTCCACGTTTTAGTATAGTCCTCATACAACTATACCTTCAGATTTATGGTCTTTTCGTAGTTTTAATCACAATTTTAACCCGAATTCGCTGTAAATTGAAGGTTTTTGTTCACTTTATGTAGGAAATATCCTTACAAAGAACTGGATATATAGGTCAAACTTTTGGTATAGTCCACATATAACTGGACCTCCAGATATTGAGTACTCTCATGATTTGGGTTAAATGGTTTCAACGAAATTGGGTTCCGTCTTCGTATAGCCCCCACATAAAAGTACATTACAATATGCGGCATTTTAATGATCCAAAATTTGGTGTTTTGAGTCGGTAATAGTTATAGCCTTACATATCTCCTGTACCGGCAGATTTATGGTCTTTGGGTTGGTTTAGTCGCATAGAACTGTCCATATAGGTTCATTTTTTTATACCCTCCACCATACATAGTATATTAAGTTCGTCATTACGTTTGTAACTCATCGAAATAGCCATGTCCGTCCGTCTGTCCGTCTGTTGTAATCACGCTGCAGTCTAAACGAATTAAGATAGGAAGCTAGAATTTTGCACTGATCCCTCTTTTGTCTGCAGGCAGGTCAAGTTCGAAGATGGGCTATATCGGTCCAAGATATCGTATAGTCCCTATATAACGGTACACTCTGATATTCGGTATTTTCATGATTTTAGCCATATTTTTCAACGGAATTGTCTGATAATAAACACAAGGAGTTCCTTGTAGGTACTTTATGCCTAGAAAGAGAATTATCTATATAGGTCCACGATATCGTATAGCCCCCATATAACGGTACCCCCCGATATTCGGAATTTTGATGATTTTACCCACATTTTTCAACGGAATTGTCTAAAAATCCACACAAGGAGTACCTAGTGGTTACTTTATACCGCGGAAGAGAATTATCTATATAGGTCCACGATATCGTATATCCCCCATATAACAGAACCTCCCGATATTCGGTATATTGATGATTTCAGCCACATTTTTCAATGGAATTGACTGAAATTCCACACGAGGAGTTCATTGTGAAAGTACTCACCTTCCCTTGGAAGAGAATTGCCTATATAGGTCTACGATATCGTTAGCCCCCTATACAACGGTACTGCCGATATTCGGTATTTTGATGACTTTAGTTACATTTTTCAACGGAATTGTCTGAAATTGTACACAAAAGGTTCTTTGTGAGCAGTTTACCCCTGACATATATAGGTTAACGATATCGTATATCCCCCATAAAACGGTACTCCCGATATTCGGTATTTCGATGATTTTAGCCATATTTCCCTATGGTATTGTCTGAAAATCCACACAAGGAGTTTTTTGAGAGCACTTTAACCCCTGAAAGGTAATTGTCTACATAGGTCCACAATATCGTATATCCCCCATATATCGGCACCTTCCGATATTAGATATTTTAAAGATTTTAACAGAATTTTTAATGGATTTTATTTTTTGAAAATTTTCTAATTCGTTCCAAATGGTGGAGGGTATTCAAAGTTGGGCTCGGCCGATGTTACTGCTTTTTTATTTGTAATAGTTCTCATAACTCTAACTGTACCTCCAGATATTCGTTATTCTCTTTTCACCGGAGTTATTTTATATTTTACAAGTTTCTTACAAATGTTGGAGGGTATTATAAGTTTAGCCCGGCCGAATTTAACCGAATTTCTCCTTGTCTCTCAAATCGAGCGAGCGTTTCTTAGGTCTACTCATATATACAGAGAAACCCTTTCAAAAGTTCTGTGCTTGTAAGACCTTAAAAGGGCCTTCTATGGCTATAAGACCTTCTTGAAGCACTTCTTTATGAAGCCTTCGATACGTTTTTCTTAGTCATATACACACAGCAGGACTCTTGCAGCACTTCTGTACATAGACGACCTTTTTTTTGGTTTTCTATACCTCCTGGAAGTCTTCTATACAAAGGCACCCTATATATAGAAGAACTCCTTTATTTTAAGTCTTTGCAAATAATGCTAGGGGCTTCAAAAATGTCATCCTCTTAAGCTCCTCTAGTGCTCATATATAGTTCCTCATTAAAATGTCACATAGGTTATGTTAGTAAAAAAACAAATCAGTGAAAAGTCAACAAATTCGAACTTTTAGTAAAAAATTAAAAAAAAAACACACTTTTGTAAAAACTTGTGACTAATGATCTTTCTGTGAAACGGCACTTTGCCACTGCCGGCGGCCCAAAGCACAATACCTCCCTCCTCCAACACACACACACACAAAGATGAAGCTACTGCATTGCCTGCAGTTTAAACCATCATTACCTGGTTGTTGTAGTTTTCTTTTCTCATTGCGGTTTGTTATGCTTTCGATTATGCTTTCCAATGCTGGCCCACCACCAGCAGCACTTGTTTCATATATAAATTGAAGATATTGGTCTATGCCGAAATTAGTTCACTTACAACGCTACAACACAACGGTGCAAATTCAACACACAACGTTCGGCATTCAAGGATACGCAATAACAATAAAAAGGACTATACAGTATTTCCAAGGATGTCTCTGTACAATATTTTATTATTGGCCATGACGCTTCTAGTGGGCACCAGTCAGGCTGGTGTTATTGGCCACTATGACGGCAAAGGAGTGCAGTCACATGATTTCAGCGATGATTTGGCCAAGAGCGCCTCGGCCCAATACGAATCGTTGGGTTCCTTGGGCGATCATTTGGATAAGTCGCATTTCCCCTCGGACTTTGGTGAAAGTCAGCATCATCATCAGGGAGATGAATACGCTGAACGCAGCGAACATATTGAGTACGGTGCTCCATCCTATGAGCATGAATTCCATCAGCCACAACATTTCGAGTATGAACATCAGTTCCACAGCGAGTTGCATGATTTCGATACAAAACCAGTGCCTGGTATCAACCATGGCAAGGGGGCTCTGAGCTATAGCACCACCTATGAATTCCCCAAGGATAATAAACCTTAAGAGAAGGAGGAGTAATGTGTTTAATTGAATGTATAGGAATAAGTGTAAGCGAGTGTGTGTGTGTGTTGGAAAATTACTCAAATGCGAGTGGAGCTAAGTGGGAGCCACAAGCCTTTCCCCTGTGATAATGTACTAACTTTTTTCCTCCAGTGTAATGGTGTTTTGTTTTGCCACAATTTGTGGCAAGGTGTTACATGATGATGCACAAATCGAGTTTGGTGGCAAAACAATTTCATTCATTGCAGTTTTCATTTCAATTCAATTCATAACAATTCGTTTATACTGCCCATTATGTGCGCTAACTGCTGTTAAATAGACCAAAGAAAGTGTTTTTCACAATAGCTATTTTACCAAACATGAAAACATTTTTTCAGCATTTTTTTGTGGCAAGTACAGTGGGACATGTTTGAAAGGCATCCAGTAATACATTAAAGTGAAAACTTATTACCTGGAAATGCCAAAATTGACTTTTTCCCAAAATTCCAATATTCACCATAACCCAGCTCCACTGTATTCCATGTGAGCGTACTCGCCTTCTTCATTACCCCCAAATGGCGGACACGTTCCAGGAAGATTGCTCACATTTGGTGTAAGAAAAAATGCTTTTGTTCATGTCTGGTTTGGCTTCTTCCACACATCATTTCCATTATCTGCTCTGACGGTGTTTTTATTTTGCTCATAGGCTAATTATCAGCTACCATTGTTGTTGTAATGTTGTTGTTGTTTTTTAAATATTTTTTTTTAAATTTCAGTATTTTTTATATATATTTTTTTAGTTTTTGTATTATTAAATAATAATTATTGTGAAATAAATTAATTTTTAGTTAACTGATAAATGTTGTGTATTTGTGTGTGTTTGTTTTTTTTATTTCTATTGCATGCCTGTGGCCAATTAATCGCCATTGGCCAATGGCCTAATTTCCCACGCTTTCCGTTTGGGAATTTTTATGCATTGCTGAATAAATTATCCATGTTTGGAAAACGGTTTAATTATTGAGGATTATTCAGCGGATAATTATAATAGAAGTGAGGTGGAAAATATTGAGTTCGTTTATCGTAATAAAGAGTTTCATATTCTTGCAATTACGGAAAAGAGCAAATGCTTTAAACATTTGAAAAGGAATAAGATGATGTGTTCTCTTGTCAACCATTGAAGTCAGAATCCGTTTCCGCTAAATTGCCATAGTCAGCATTTTTATACCCTCCACCATAGTATGGAGGGTATATTAAGTTTGTCATTCCGTTTGTAACACCTCGAAATATACATTTTAGACCCCACAAAGTATATATATTCTTGATCAGCATAAAATTCTATGGCGATTTATCAATATCCGTCCGTCTGTGGAAATCACTCTGGCTTCCGAACTAAATGAAGTAGATTGATAAAATTTTACTCAAATGTGTACTATGTCTGCAGGACTTTTGGTATTGAAAATGGGGCATGTAGATTCACGTCTTCGCATAGCCCCCATATAACGTTACCTCCCGATATGAGGCATTTTGATAATTCTATCGACATTTTTTTTACCGGAATTGTTTCAAAATTAATATTTAAAGTTCGTAATGGATACTACGGCTTAAGCAGAAAATTGGCAATTCAGGTCTACGTCTTCGTATAGACCCCATATAACGGTACCTCCCATATTCGGTATTTTGATGATTTTAGCGACATTATTTATCGGAATTGTTTCAAATTTTGTATTTGAAGTTCGTAATGGATGCTACAGCCTATGACTGAAAATTGTCTGATATTGATATTTGATATTTGAAGTTCGTAATGAATACTACAGCCTACGACAGAAAATTGTCTGTGCAGGTCCACGCCTTCGTATAGCCCCCATATAAGGTACCCCCCGATATTCGGTATTTTCATGTTTCAAATTTGGTATTTTAAGTTCCTAATGAATACTATACTCTATGGCAGAAAATTGTCTGTGCAGGTCCACATATAACGATATTCGGTATTTTGATGATTTTAGCTACATTATTTACCGGAACTATTTCAAATTTAGTATTTGAAGTTCGTAATGAATACTATAGGCTATGACAGAAAATTGTCTGTGCAGGTCCACGTCTTCGTATAGCCCCCATATAACGGTACCTCCCGATATTCGGTATTTTGATGATTTTAGCGACATTATTTACCGGAATTGTTTCAAATTTCGCATTTGAAGTTCATAATGGATTTTACAGCCTATGACAGAAAATTGTCTGTGCAGAATCGCGTTTTATAAACACCATGGTACCTCCCTATATTCGATATTTTGATGATTTTAGCTACATTATAAACAAATTTTTTTCAAATTTCGCATTTGAATATTGTAATAGCTTCGTATAGCCCCCATATAACGGCACCCCCCGATATTCGGTATTTTCATGATTTTAGCGACATTATTTGCCGGAACTATTTCAAATTTGGTATTTTAAGTTCCTAATGAATACTATACTCTATGGCAGAAAATTGTCTGTGCAGGTCCACATATAACGATACCCCCCGATATTCGGTATTTTGATGATTTTACCTACATTATTTACCGGAACTATTTCAAATTTGATATTTGAAGTTCGTAATGAATACTACAGCCTACGACAGAAAATTGTCTGTGCAGGTCCACGCCTTCGTATAGCCCCCATATAAGGTACCCCCCGATATTCGGTATTTTCATGTTTCAAATTTGGTATTTTAAGTTCCTAATGAATACTATACTCTATGGCAGAAAATTGTCTGTGCAGCTTATGACAAAAGTTGACTATGCAGGCCCACGTCGTCGTATAGACCATAATATACGGCTACATTCGGTATTTTTAAGATTTAACAGAATCTTTAACGGATTTTATTTATTTTTTTGAAAATTGTTAAATTTGTACCAAATGGTGGAGGGTATTCAAAGTTCGGCCCGGCCAAACGTACAGCTTTTTTACTTGTTTTTTATATTGCTGGAAATCTGTGAAACATGGCAAAAAAAGTAAAAAATGCAGCTAAGTTCGGCCGGGGCGAACTTTTAATAGCCTCCACCGTTCTGAAGGATCTTGAAAAATTTCAAAAATAAAACACTTAAATGAAAACCGATATATGGAGGCTATACGAAGACGTGGACCTGTATATGTACTTTTTTATCATAGGCCATAGTACTGATTCAGATTTCGAACTTCAAAAACGTTATTTGAAACAATTCCGTTGAATAATGTCGCAAATACCGTCAAATTTGAAACAATTCCGGTGAATATCATCAAAATACCAAATAAAGGGAAGTACCGTTATATGTGAGCTATACGAAGACCCGAACCTACATAGACAATTTTCGTCATAGGTTGTAGTACTCAATACGAGCTTGAAATTTTAAATACGAAATTTTAAAAATAGTTCTGGTCAAAAATTTCGCTAAAATCATCAAAACACCGAATATTGAGAGGTACTGTTATACATGGGGTATATACGATATCGTTGACCTATATAGACAATTCTCTTCCAGGACGTTAAGTACTCAGAAGGAACTCCTTTTGTAGATTTTGAGGCAATTCCATTGAAAAATGTGGATAAAATCATTAAAATACCATATATCGGGAGGTACCGTTATATGGAGGATATACGATATGATGGAACTATAAATACAATTCTCTTCCAGGAGGGGTAAGGTACTGAGAAGGGACTCCTTGCATGGATTTTTCAGGCAATTCTTTTGGAAATTTTGGCTACAATCATCAAAATACCAAATATCGGGAGATACTGTTATATGGCAGATTTACGATGCCGTGGACCTATGTTTACTTACAGGCGGTAAAGTACTCACAAAGAAATCCTTGAGTGTTCCGATGCCATTGAAAAACTTATTTTTATACCCGACACCACACTGTGGTACAGGGCATAATGTCTTTGAGCATTTGTTTGTAACATGGAGAAGGAAGCGAGATAGACCCTTTTGAGGATATTCATAGAAACATGCCCGTCCATGTATTTTTGTATAAAATACCTCTGCCAAATTTTATCGAGATCGGTTCAGATTTGGATATAGCTCCAATATATAACTTCGTCCGATTTACCTTTTATTGTGCACCAAATTTGGAATTTGGCACATATGACCGAATTGAGTCTAGAAGGTAGTATGCAAAATTTGGTGAAGATCGGTTCAGATATAGCTATAGCTCCCATATATATTGTTCATCCGATTTGTTGTATTTGTTACCCACAGCCGTAATATGCACTCCGTAACAACGATATTCAGGGAAATATATCAAATGCAGCTCAGAAATATCTTTGCCAAATTTTATCGAGATCGGTTCAGATTTGGATTTAGCTCCCATATATATTTTTATCTGATTTAGAATTAATTTTGCACCAAATGGGCAATAGAAGTGCGAATTTAAAAAATACAAATGCTTCGGCGTATTTAGTCCTTCAAATTTTAAATTATAATTATAATCATAGGGTGTATGATTGAATTCTCCCATAAAAACTTTTAATTGTTATGCGCAGGTCTACTTAATTAGCAAAGTGGTATAGGGTAGCATAAAATCGGCCCCGCCCGACTTTAGGACTTTCTTTACTAATTTAAATAATGTCAAAGAGCCCTGCCCAGAGGTTACCCTTAGTTTTTTGGGCCGGAGAATTTGGCAAAAGTTGTGGTATATTTTTCCGTGATTTTCTTAGATTTTCCGCTTTGCTGGCAAAAGACCATTCCGAATTATTGGGAATTGTGAAAATCGGCCCAGCGGTTCTTAATTTATAAGCAGAATAAATAAGATCAATTCTTTTACATATATGTTGTACCTATTTTGCTATATATCCGATTTCTTGATTATTAGCATCACTGTAATGGTCAGAAGTGGTCTTTTAATGTATCTGTGATATGGCTTGGGTTGAAAATATTCGCGGTTTAGTGGAAATTTTCCTATTTTCTTACATAAAAGTAAGGGTCTATTTTACCCGCAAATTATTGTCCGATGGCCGCCCATATTGGTAGAAACCTACCCACTCTTAAACTCTAACTCCATATACATTTTCGCTTTCGTCGATTGGTTCATAAT